TTACAGGTGTTTCTAATGATAATTTACCTTCGCAGGAATAATCTACAGGTTTACCTGGAGAGTTCCGGGGGTCAACGCCCCCGCGGCCCGGTCTGTGACCAGGCCTCCTTAGGTCAGTGTCCCAGGATGCGACCCACACCAGTCGACTAACACCCAGGTACCCATTTTACTGATGGGGAACATAGACAACAGGTGGAAAGAAACACGTCAATGTTTCTACTCTGGCTGGGAATCGAACCCAGGCCCTCACCGTGTGAAGCGAGAGCGTTAACCACCAGGCCACCAGAGCCCATCTACCTTTGCAGGAATAATCTACAGGCGTTTCCAAGGAGAATCTAGCTTTGCAGGAATAATCTACAGGTGTTCCAAGGATAATCTAGGTTTGCAGGAATAATCTACAGGTGTTCCAAGGATAATCTAGCTATGCAGGAATAATCCACAGGCGTTTCCAAGGAGAATCTAGCTTTGCAGGAATAATCTACAGGGTTTCCAAGGATAATCTAGCTTTGCAGGAATAATCTACAGGTGTTCAAGATATACCTTGCAGAATAATCTAAGGTGTTCAAGGATAATCTAGCTTTGCAGGAATAATCTACAGGTGTTCCAAGGATAATCTAGCTATGCAGGAATAATCCACAGGCGTTTCCAAGGAGAATCTAGCTTTGCAGGAATAATCTACAGGGTTTCCAAGGATAATCTAGCTTTGCAGGGATAATTTGCAAGGATAATTCACCAAAACAAATATTCATAGTTTCTTTTATCGTTATTATTTCAATAATCATTATTTACATACATACAATAACTGCCAATATAGTCTTCCAAACATACAAAGCAGTTATACAAGAAGAATTATACACCAATAATAATAACTCTCTCTCTCTCTCTCTCTCTCCGTAGACAACTCTGTACAGTAACTTCACATTAAAACAGTTTTGTCCAATAAATCTGTATTCAACAAAGCAACTGAGGCGAAAAAAAGGCCCGACTTACCCCTCCCCCTAACAAAGGGCTATTATTGTTCTGAAGAGTGGGAGTCGAAGTCCCTGGAGGCGGAGAGGGAGGGATGGGGGACAGGTCACCCTCCTTTTAGGCGGGATATAAGGGGAGGTGTGGTTGGTTCCTTTGCTTTGGGAGGGGGGGTGGGGGGTGGATGAGAGGGAATGGTGGAAGGGGAGGGGTCCATGAGTCCCGCATTGACCAAAACAAAGAATATTAACACGTAAACATATAAAATATGAATGAACATATGAGTACATATGAGCGCATCAGCGCAGTGCACTTAAGTAATAATATTATATAATATATATATATATATATATATATATATATAATATATATATATATAATATATATATATAATATATATATAATATATATATAATATATATATAATATATATATATATATAAAATATATATATATATATAATATATATATATATATATATATATAATATATATATATATATATATATATAATATATATATATAATATATATATATATATATATATATATATAATATATATATATATATATATATATATATATATAGTGCCTAATAAGCCGAATTGTTCAGTTAGGCTGAACTTCCTTAAATATTGAACTTTACTCAAATTCTCTTTTTATGGGTTGATATATTTTTTATTGAATACAATTTGGCACCAAACCTGACTCCCAAACCTCGTGTAACCTAACTTAACGTAATTTTTTCTAGCCAAATTCTACTTAATATATCACAGATCAGATTAGAGTGATTTATTTTTACTAAAAATCAGTGATATATATATATATATATATATATATATATATATATATATATATATATATATATATATATATATATATATATATATATATATATATATATATATATATATATATATATATATATTCGTTATGTTCAGGTTGATTTTCACATATTGCATCAAGAAATTTTCACTCTCCTTACTTACTCGGCAGAAGTGACCCTTGCTGTTTAGGCCAAACTCTGTTTATTCGGCACGATATATATATATATATATATATATATATATATATATATATATATATATATATATTATATATATACATGCACACACACACACTCGGTGGTCACTATTAGATACAGCCTTCTAGTACTGGGTAGGCCCCCATATGCCTTTAAAACAGCCTGAATTCAAGAAGGTTCAGGAAACATTCCTTAGAAATCCTGGTCCATGTTGACAGCGTCACACAGTTGCTTCAGATTTGTCATCTGGATCATTCATGTTGTGAATCTCCCTTTCCACCATATCCTGTAGGTTTGAGCCAAATTATCACCCTATAATTTGCACGTTGCAGCAGAATTTGCAGCGAAGTTGTCCCTAGTCTTTAACTGTCCAGTTCTGGTGAGCAAGTGGACACCGAGGCCTCAGTTTCCTTAATTAACTGGCAGGAGTGGAACCCGGTGTGGTCTTCTGGTGCTGCATACTATCCACTTCACGGTTCGTCATGTGCGTTTGGGGATGCTCTTCTACATACCCCTGTTGTGACACATGGTCTTTTCAGTTAGTGTCACTTTCCTGTCAGCACGAACCAGTCTGGCCATTCTCATCTGACCTCTCTTCATTATCAAGGCGTGTTCATTTACATAACTGGCTCTCATTGGATGTTTTGTTTTCTACGCCATTCTCTGTAAACTCTCGAGACTCTGTATGAAGATCACAAATCAGCAGTGTCTGAGATGCTCAAACAGCCTCATCCAGCATCAATGATTATTCCAAGGTCAGAGTCACTTGGATCACATTTCTACCCCATTCTGATGTTTCTTACATAACCCGCACAAAGGAGAAAGAAATTTATGATGAACGTTTCGGTCCGACCTGACCCATTGACAAATCAATGGGTCAAGCCGAACCGAAAGATCATAAGATTTTTTCTATGTGCGGGTTATTCGTGTACTGTACCAGTCATGGTATAATGCCTCTTGTTCCTGAAGTTTGTTCTTAATAACAACACAACTTCCTGATCAGGTCTGTATGCTTCTAGACATTGAAGTGCTGCCACGTGATTGGCTGATAGATATCTGCATCAATTAACGTGCACGAATACATATGTATCTAATAAAGTGGCCACTGAGTAATATATATATATATATATATATATATATATATATATATATATATATATATATATATATATATATATATATATATATATATATATATATATATATATGTGTGTGTGTGTGTGTGTGTGTGGTGTGTGGTGTGTGTGTGTGTGTGTTCATCATTTAGTTTAAGGGGCTCCACTTAGTTAGGTGATAATTGACAGTTTAAAGTGTACACTACTGTACTAAACACTAACATATTAGCACAACATGAAACTGTTATAAATTTTCTTCCATGTCAGATTAGCTTCTAACCTGAGTTAAGCGACTAACAATTAGCCGCTGACTTCGCTTCACCTAATATGTCTGACACTCGTCTTGGTCACTAAAGTTGTGAACTATGTGGTAAAAAGACATGAAAAGAATCACTCGTCATGGTTTATCTTTGTGTATCATGTGTTGGTATGCTCAGTCATAGCACTACATGCTCCTGGGTCCGGCAACCATATTAACCCATACATTATATTAGTCTTAATATTTCAATATATAACAGTTTGAACAAGAAATAACTGCCATTGCTGGATTATGGTGTTCTGTCTTGTTATAGAAAATTAAATAAAAAGTGGAATCCTTAAACTGATACTGACGTGTGTGTGTGTGTGTGTGTGTGTGTGTGTGTGTGTGTGTGTGTGTACTCACGTACATGCGTACACACACAATTATGTGTATGTGTACGCGCGCGCATACACAGGTCTGATGACGTTTAATTTGTGACAAGAGAAGGTAGGGTGAATGTGGGAAAACAAGATCTATGTAGCCTCAGTATCTCTCCGTTACCTCCAAACAAAAGACAACCGAGTCTTGATTCTAACTCAAGATGCATTGCATTTTGAGCAAGATTGACATGATCTGATGCATCACGCATCACTCGCTGCTCCAAGATGAATCAGGCGAGGGGAGGGTAGGTACCTACAGCGCTGCTACACTTGACACTGATTCACACCACCACCACCACCACTACAGCAAGGTCTACCACGTCCCTGTTGACGACTCGGGGAAGTAGGGGGAAGGGGGGGGGGTGTCCTTTACGAGAGTGCACGTCCAACTGCCCTCAGCCCCTGGCAAGCTGCCGTCACCTGCCCCTATCACATGCAGCAACCTGCCCTCTCTCCTGCCAACCTGAACACCCAGTACAAAAAAAAAATCTAAGTATCTGTTTTCTGGAATACATTCATTTTCTTATTTTTAAAATATAGATGTCCCTCAATGCATACATCACAAATTTATATATATTTTAATATATATATATATATATATATATATATATATATATATATATATATATATATATGATCACAGGTGAAATCTTAACATGCAATATAACCAAAGTGAAAAATAATATTTCAAGTGCAGTCACGATTTCTCACACTATCAAAGAACATTAAAATTAATAAGACAATAAAAGATGAAGTTTTTAGTCAGGTCAAAGGTCAGGTAAGTTATGAGTGATGTCAAGTAAAGGAAAATTTTGTCAACATAGCTTATAATCTTCACAAATTCTGTTCTTTATAAATTAATTTAATTTATACAGTACTGAACTTATATTCAAATTGCAATCAGTGATTCATGAAGCTTGATTCTGTTATATATCGTTAAACCATGGAACTGCTTAAAACAACTGTTTTGGTCTTTTGAAAATCAATGGGGAATTTAAAATCTCTCACTTGAATAGAGCATAAGACTCTTGCCAAGTTCTAATGCTACATTTACGTTGCTGTTATTTTTGTTTAAAGACTTTTTCCAGGCACATGTGAGGTCATATCTCAGGTTTGTAATTTTTCTGTTGTCTTATTATTATTAATGTTACTTGAGAATTCACAAAAGAAGCTGGAATATATTTTTTTTCATTATGGTTACATTGCATATAAATTATATATATATATATATATATATATATATATATATATATATATATATATATATATCCTTGAATTTATATTCTTTCATAAGCACACTAGTGAACAAATAATTATTTTATGAAGGGAACTTTCTCATGGCATTTTGCTAGTGTATGGTAATTGTGTTCGTCTGTGCTGAGGTCCACTTGTGAGTGGGGAGGGTGAAGAGGGTGTTGTGCTGGCCACAACTTTATGTGAGGCAGGAATAAAAATGGTGAGTGTTCACCATCCTTCTCCGCTTCTCACCTTCCACCTCCTAAAAAAAAAGGGTCCTTATAACATCCAGAGTTTCACCCAGCAGTGATGTGTGTCCGTAACACCCAGTAGTAGTGACTTATGTCCGTAATACCACTAGCTCTCCTCCTATGGTACACGTTTCCATTCATTGGAAGCCAGGATGAGGTCCCTCAATCACACATTATTAACGACAGGCAGACACACAGCCTCATATTAGCTGACGTTCCCTCATGCTCGACTCCTGTTTTGGCGCACTAGTCACTGGAGGGAGGGAAGAAGGGTATACTCCCTCCACGAGTCACTGAGGATTCTCGGGGGAGGGGAAGGAGGGAGCCAGGAGAGTAGACTCCCCTCCTCTAGTCACTTCACACAAGGGAATTAGGGAAAAGGAAGAGCCAGATCGGGCCTGATTTTCGCCACAATAACATCCTCGCAATAACATAAACTGATCGACTAGAAGGTACTGGGGGTGGTCCACTAGAAGGTACTGTGTGGTCCACAAGAAGGTACTGGGGGGTGGTCCACTAGAAGGTACTGTGTGGTCCACAAGAAGGTACTGGGGGGTGGTCCACTAGAAGGTACTGTGCGGCCCACTAGAAGGTACTGTGCGGCCCACTAGAAGGTACTGTGTGTGGTCCACTAGAAGGTAGTGGGGGTGGTCCACCAGAATATTGTGGGGGTGGTCCACTAGAAGGTTGTGGGGGCCCACTTGAAGATACTGGCGTGGCCAGCCCTTGTAGTTACCCCTGGTAGAGCCGCCCAGGAAAAGGGGGCGACCCGGGGCCCTGGTCGGGGGTGTAGCGCCCACACCAGCAGTGGCGCTAGTGGGCGTGGAAACGAAGGGCGTCCTGGAGTGGTAGTAGCAGTAATAGTAGTGTGTGTGACGCCCTCCCCCGCCCACTGTGGGCGGCGCTGCCATTCCAACATGCCTCCACCCACGAGTAACACCATGATGAACCGTTGAATAAATTAATGATGTGTGGGTGGTAGCTACCACCCCGCCCGCACGCCCGTGATCCCTGAATGTTGCCCGCGGCGCCCTTGACTAGGGGGAGGGCGCGCGCCCACGCCACCAGCACCAGCAACGCGCCCCCCCCTGATGCTGCCCTCCTGGTGGCTGTGTGGGGGTGGGGGCGACCCGGGCCGGCCGGCCACCCTGGGGGGTATTAAAGCTTCATAGGGTGGCCCGGGCCGCCCACCATGGGCAGTGGGGCAGCCTGTGCAGCAGATGGGGGGGGGGGGGAAGGCCACCTCACGCACAGTCATGCAGCGGCCGCTTTTCTGGTGGTGGTAGGGGTGGCGGTGGATGGAGCCGCGGGCTGCGGCCTTGTGGGCTGCGGCCTTGCGGGCAGCGGCAGCCGTGGCTGGTGCACCGCTGATAGCTCAGCTCCAGCAGCCGCCGTGCCCCTGTCAGCGGCCAGTAGCAGAGGAGGCAGGGCAGCGGGATGGAGGCTAGTGCCAAGCATACCCACCCTGCCGCAGCCTGCCCGCCACCGCATGAGCATGGCTGGTCTGCCGCTGCGGCAAGACCGGCCTCGCCATCTTTCCCGCAGTGGTATAGAATGCCCTTCACGCAGCACAGGCACGACGCATAGTCGACTGCGGCTGCGGGTGAGCAGAGGCACTTGTTGCGGCAGAGCCAGGCTGCGGGCGGTGGGCGCGGCCTGGTGCACGCCTCACACCTACACCGCCCACACCACGAACAGATGATACTCTCCCCATCAGCGTCCTCCCGCCCACCCTTAGTAAAGGTGATGGCCGTCGGCTGTTTACTAATGACTGGGGTGCGGCTGCCGGCCGGCTGTTGCTGTTGCTGCTGTAGCATTGAGCTGCCGCTCCTGCTGCCCTTGACGGGCGCCGTGGTCACGCTGGTATGGGCGGTGGGTGTGAGCTTGGAGGGCCGCTTGCCGCTAGAGCGGGCAGGGGCGCCGTGCACAAGAGCCAGATCAAGGTGGACGCGGGAAGGTGTGGAGGCGTGGTGGTGGCCGTGGCGGGCACGGGGTGCCACCCGGTGCTTGAATGGGGTATCAACGTAGAGGTTGGTGGTGCGCTGGTGGTCGGGGCGGGGCACGGAGAGAGTGATGGCACTATCCTGGGGGCTGCTGGCGGTGCCCGACCCCCCACAGCCGCCCGCGCCGCCCCCGCCTTGGCTGCCGCCATCCTGCGACATCAGCGGGCGCACACGGCTGCCATCCTGACCTCAGCCGCCGCTCCACAATACTCTGAAAGAAACAACATAACGTCAGCATGACAACACAGAACTTTACCTCATCCTCTAACACAAACACGAATCCATCTGATCATACGCAACACTTCTAAGTATTTTATCCTCTAACACATAAATATATCATCCAATACACGTCTAACTACGTTACCCTATAAAACACAAACAGTACAAGCCTTTTAGCAAGACTTAAATGCACTTACAACTTTTAGAAAAAGTGTAAACCTTCCATACAAGAAACAATCTTAATTAAACATGTGTCTTACCAACCTCCCGTTGGTAAGACACATTTCCAGCAGTTAGGTATCTTTATTCCGAAACGTTTCGCATACACAGTAGACTTCTCCAGTAGGGTATAGAAAAGTTGGAAGAAACAACAGAGATGTAGAGACGATATAATCAGTCCATTAGCCTGACCACTTCAGGAGTACATCTGGAGTTACCTCTACAGTTCACTTATCTGTTACAAGCAAATTTAGGAAATTTGCTTAGTATATCTGGTATCTTATTTTCACTAATGAGATATCCTGACATGTCGCATAGGTTATTATACTATCTATATAGTCACCAATAAGTGGACAATTAAGCACACAGTATTCAAGATAGGGACTACAGGGCTGGTCACATCCTTTGCATTTACTTTGTGATCATCTGTCTCCCAAACTGCCAGAAGTACTTATAACCAAGCCTAAAGCCTGGCCACTACAACATCAGTCTGTTCACATTGCAAGATGCTTCATAAACCGTACTTATCTACGTTCATGTTATCATAGTGGGTTATAGATCTACTCAGGCTTCTAACTGCATTCCTATAACAATCATTTTCATTATATACTTCTCTAATATTATTCCTAATGCTGGACACAGATATACCTAAGTTATACCCTACATTCTCCTTCTGAGTACTCTTCTTGGTTAACACATCAACGTTATCATGAAGGAAAAATTCAGTGTGTGATGGAATCCACGACAATTGTACATTAATTCCCTTTTTTCGAATTTTTTGAGCATCTGTACCTAGCCTCTGCAATGAGCATGTTGTCAAGGTCATTATGCGTATCAAGAGCCTTCAGTGTAGACACAGAATTAGTAACAATCATAGAGTCTAGTTCAGTGTCATAAGTTAGCTTTAGTCACCAGGATGACAATTTAGTTTGCATTATAGAAGCCCAGTCGTTAATTCTTATGCCTATCTGAACAAGGTTGCTATCATTCTTAACTAGGGAGGTGCAACAAGAGCAGATGCAGCCCTGCCAGACTCCTGCTTACATCCATCAGTGTTTATAGCTTGTGATAAATTATTACTACCAGCTACAAAAGAAATTTCTTCTTGAGCAGTTGCGTATACAAGTGATTTCTTGGGAGGGACTTGCAGGTATGTGATATTAAATGAACAATCTTCCATGGAGGGGTGAAATGCTCTTATTATCTACAGTGATACAGTTCGTACAAGTTATAAAAAGTAATATAAATGCACGTTTTCACAGCTCATTTAGATCTATGGCCGCACGTAGTCCAACGTACGAACCACAGCCTGGCTGATCCGGTACTGACTTTAGGTATCTGTTCAGTTCCCTCTTGAAGACAACCAGGGGTTTATTGGTAATTTCCCTTATGGCTGGTGGGAGGCTGTTGAACAGTTTTGGGCACCGGACACTTATTGAGTTTTCTCTTAGTGTGCTAATAGTGCCCCTGCTTTTCACTGTGGGTACGCCAAGTCTTTTGTTTTCGTATGGAGTGATTTCAATGTGCAGATTAGGGACCAGTCCCTCTAGGATTTTCCAGGTACAGATTATGATGTATCTGTCATCTTCGTTCCAGTGAGTACAAGTCAAGTGCTTCCAAGCATCCCCAGTAGTTAAGGTGTTTGATGGAACTTATATGTGCAGTAAAGGTTCTCTGTACATTCTCTAGTACTGCAATTTCACCTGCCTTGAATGGAGATGTTAATGTACAGAAATATTTCAGCCTAGAGAGAAGAAGTGACTTAAAAAGGATCGTCAGTGGCTTGACATCTTTTGTCTTGAATGTTCTCATTATCCATCCTATCATTTTCCTCGCAGATGTGATAGTGGCATTGTTGTGGTCCTTGAAGGTGAGATCCTCAGACATTACCACACCCAGGTACTTCTCATTACTTTTCCGCTCTATTGTGTGATTAGAGTTTGTAGTATACTCAGTCCTAGCTATTATTTCCTCCAGTTTTCTATAACGGAGTAGTTGGAGTTTGTCTTCATTGAACATCATATTTTCTCCGTTGCCCATAGGAAAACTTGGTTTATATCTTCCTGGAGATTTACCGTGTCCTCAATGGATGACAGTCTATTGCAGATCATAGTATATCTCTCAAAGGATGATACGGTGCTACTATGGTTTACATTTCTAAGTCTGATATGAAGATGAGGAACAGGATGGGGGCGAGTACTGTGCCTTGTGGAACAGAGTTCTTCGCTAAGGCAGCTTCCGATTTAACTCTGTTTACCAATACTCTGTGTTCGATTGGTTAGAAAGTTGAAGATCCATCTCCCCACTTTGCCAGTTATCCATTTAGCACACATTTTGTGTGCTGTTACACCATGATCGTACATGTCAAATGCTTTTGCAAAATCTGTGTATACTACATCTGCATTCTGTTTGTTTTCCAGTGCATCTAGGACCATATCATAGTGGTCTAGCAGTTGTGAGAGGCAGGAGGGGCCTGCTCTGAACCCATGTTTCCCTGGACTGTGCAATTGTTGAGAGTTCAAGTGGTTTGCAATGCTGATTCTTAGAACTCTTTCAAAGATTTTAATGTTGGACGTTAAAGCTATTGGTCTAGAGTTCTTAGCTATTGCTTTGGTGCCACCTTTATGGAGTGGGGCTATATCCGTTGTTTTTAGTAATTGGAATCTCACAAGTGTCAGTGCTCCTTCTCCATAGCATACTTAGAGCAATACAGAGTTCCACGAGTCTGGGCCTGGGGCTAAGTGCATGGGCATTTTGTCAATGGCTTTCTCGAAGTCTAGTGGACGAAGATTAATATCCAAATTTCTTCAATTAATATGGCAAATTAGAAAATACACAGCTAAACACTAACTGCAATCTTGCACTAAGTAACACCAGCTTTGAAGCCAAACTGATGATGCATTTTTTTTTGTCTCTGAGAGACCAATATCCTAACATATACTAGGCCATCAAATTTAAAACCACTCTGTATTTGCACTGTCAAGTTATCAGTGTTGAAGAGTGAAGCCAATCAGATGAAGCATTCAGAAAATATTTCATGAAAACATTCAAATTTTCCCAGATTCATCTATAGGAAAAGTGAAACCTATAGAGACCAAAACCAATCCAAAGTTTTCAGTTGGTAAGACTAACAAGCGGCTGAACAATACTTGAAGTTTAATCTAGGCTTCAACTTAAGGAAAACATCACTAAAAGTTTAAAGCTTATCAGGAGATACATTATCCAGTAACTTCAAAGAATCTAAAATCTTTTATCAAATTTCCTAAGATAAATCGACCATTAGAGACTGCTTATTATCAAGAGGAAACGCTAAACCAGTAGGGGTCATACAGTGGAATGGGAGGTATTCAGATTCGATTCAATGAGAGGATATATCCAGTTCCCTGAATCAAGGGCCACTCACCTGCATCAAGGGAAAAAATGGCGGCTACACACTCCATTAACCTTCTAAGTAGGCTACACCTGGAGTTTACCTGGAGAGAGTTCCGGGGGTCAACGCCCCCGCGGCCCGGTCTGAGACCAGTGTTGAAATTGTGAAGGCAGCCAGAAGAGGCCTTCTAAATTTATATCACGGAAACCAATTTCAGGAAATGGTCTATATAAAACAGAACGGAAGGAACCAGCATTTGTCAAGTGTTCCACGAACCTGTACTGGCTAATGTTTAGACTAGAGTTGGAAAAAAAATTAAAGCTGACTGGATCAGTTGTTCTGAAGTTGTAACCAAAACCTCGAAGGAAGTTAATGGAGAATAAAAACACCGAAGTTGGCAATGTGGAGACTCAGGCGGAATAAGTCCTATACTCTTTAATAGTTTACCAGTGAAAAAATAATAATCTAAAAAAATTATTTGATCGTTTTGCTTATTACAAAAAAAAAGGCCAATTTTATATAAAAAAGTCTATAACAGGTATTTGTCCTGTTTCCAGACGAATCTTACCTAACCTGACGTCTATAATAGGTAAATTGGGTCGTACAGAGCCCAAATTCAAGACAGAAAAATACTTAAAAAAAAAAAAAATCCTCTAGTATTTGCTTTATATAAAACAATACCAAATTTTTAGGTTTCGTTAAAATTTCAAATTTCCATCGAAACAGTTTATGTATTTTAATGTTTTAAAGGTGATAAAACAAGGCCTATCTTAGTTAATGAACGGATAGCAACACTACTCTGCGGTAAGGTCGCAAACATGCAATCTTAGCAATGCAGAACTCTAGATCTTTCGTACTCTCGTGCATCGTCAGGAGCTATGTAATGCTGCAAGACAGCAACAGATAGGAAGGGAAATTCTCCGAGGCAAAGTAGGAATTAATGGCGGCCCATGACACAGTGAAGACCGTCACAGACCCTCTCCCGTCCCCCTCACACCTCGGAAGGGGTGTTAGGGAATATTCCTGTCCTTTCCTGGATATTTATGTCCTCTCCCGGACATGAATATCCTGGAAAGGAAGCAGAGTTAGATTCCCATTCATCACTGAATTTGAAGTAGGGTATCGTGCCGTTTTGTTCTCTAATAGTCAGTCTTTCAGTTTTTTTTACAGTGCAAAGGGAAAAGGCACGCCCCATATGGAATGATACACCAAGTCACTGCATTATAACTGGGCAACGAGTAAAACCCATGAGAACTGATGACACCATGGACAGCGATGAAACTATAGGTTGATGAGCTTAGGAAGAGCGATCACAAACGACTCGGCTTCAATATATCGAGGAATTACCATAACTACAATAATGTCCCTGACTTTCGCTTAGCCATTTTCATAGTGCTGAGGAA